CAATGCCTTTCCTGGAGAATACATCCCCACAGTGTGAGTACCTCCGCTTCACGTCGGGCTCCTGATCACTCACTCGAGTTTGTCACGATGATGCAACAGTGAATACTGAATTTTATATAATTCAAGTTATTATTGTGGATTAGCTTAAAGCGTCCTCTAGGAAAAGTTGTCCATTTCAGCATAGAAAACAGAACAATTGAATCAAGCTGGTCACTGCAACAATCTTACAATAATCTAGATATTATTCTTATTAATATTCAGACAGGCAAGTCAGAATGGTTAGGTAACAGTAAATTACACTATTCTAAAGGGCATTGGTATGAAAGAGAGAGACGACAGAGACATGAAAATAGCACCATCATTTTGCCGGGATAACAGGAAATATACTGAAATATTTTATTTCAGCTGTGATTCGGCCATTCATAATCATGTTTTCCAGAGAGATGTGCAATCAAGTATTCAGTGTAAACATTTAAATGAATCACTGAATTGGAAACTTCCTTTGGACTGAAACAGTCTCTTGTTTTATTTAAATTCTGCATTTGTTTACAGTCAGCATTTCACATTCAGTTGTCACTGATTAACATTCAGAACTGAATTGCCTTTCGATTGACAGATTTGATAATTACTCTGCAAATGTGATGGTGGATGGGAAACCAGTGAACCTGGGTCTCTGGGATACAGCAGGACAGGAGGATTATGACAGACTTCGTCCTCTGTCGTACCCTCAAACGGTAAGAACCGCAGCCAGCCTTTTTAGAAACTAAAGAGAAGTGTCAAACAATGTGTTTCTTTACCAACCATTTTTCAAATGAAAACGTATACAATAACTTACTGTATACATGAAATTGAACGGACACCTTTGCCTTCACATATACAGTTTTCCATACATTTGGGCTCAACCTAAAAATCAGAAAAAAAAAATTATTCTTTGAATAACTAAAGGAAACTGTCCCTTTCCATAAAAGTGGACATAAATCTTGTTTGTCCACTTGCCAAGTTAAGGTCTCAGTTATCCTTCTCTTCTTGCTATTGTTTTTTTGTAGCTCACTTTTAGGCTGCCACTAAAATTGTTATGGCAGGTTTACTGTACTACCTTTTGAATGATCTTTGAGGTTGCAATAAATGAATGATTTACATTAGCTTTATATTGGTAATGCATACAACCATACATGTTTGGACTATGAACTAATAGTGACTATATATAGCGACTCTGTAGTCAACAGGGTTTGCACTATAACCATTAGTCATGGATTAATTTTCTCCTGTCTGTTTTTCTGAATATAATTGTGTTTTATCATTTTTAACATTTCTTCAGATAACAGTCTGAGACATTGCTGGTAGACAAGCAAAACTATGAGCCACTGCATAAAATGTAGCACATATGAATGGTGCAGAGTGGATGTAAATAGTGGAAATGCACCTGTAAATCTCCATTGGCACATCATAAATGCTTTTGTCCCATAGGACGTGTTTCTCATCTGCTTCTCCCTTGTGAGCCCTGCCTCTTTTGAGAATGTTCGTGCAAAGGTAAGTACTTTTCAAAGTAGAACGTAGAACCAAGCTAGCAGACATTATTAGAGCTTTCTCTTGAAATAATTATTTCAGGTTTAGCACAGTGCATGCAGGACTGAAACCGCATGTCTATTTCTTACTCGTGCTGGTTGTTTTGGTCATTTTGAAATGTGTTGTGTGTTCAGTGGTATCCAGAAGTGAGACACCACTGTCCAAACACTCCAATCATCCTGGTAGGAACCAAGCTTGATCTGAGAGATGACAAGGACACCATTGAGAAACTGAAGGAGAAGAAGCTCACTCCCATCACCTACCCTCAAGGCCTGGCCATGGCCAAAGAGATCGGTAGGTGGAACCATGGCATGTTTAAAAATCTCATG